CTATTAACTTTACCCTTGAACTTAAATCAATAGTAATCTGAACATACAATTGCTGGAGAGTCCCGAGCAATCATTTAAATGTAGCAGTTTGGCTGAAACATGAGAGGAGCATAAGAAAACAATAAAAACTGATCAATAATATCTTTCCTTGCATTTTCTCTCATAACTCAATGACAGAGGACAGAAATATATACATTATCAATCAGACATTAGTGTTAATCTGTCTATGAGGCACCAAGTGATTAGATAATATTTTTGGCCGTTTTAATCCAAGAAGAGTATACAGTAGAAAATTGACATTTCAATTAGGCGGTGCTTCCTCATCTTATCGCTTCCATTTAAATTTCGCTTAGAAGTTGTCTGATAAATTCCTGTTTTGCTTGTTGTAGGCATGGTACCTCCACGAAAACAACTGTGAACTTGAGATGGTGGATCCTGAATTATCAGAGTTCAGCAAGGAGGAAGTAAAGAGGGTGATTGGTGTAGCTCTTCTGTGCACTCAAACATCCCCAGCTCTTCGGCCATCAATGTCCCGCGTAGTGGCAATGCTGACCGGAGACATCGAAGTGACTCCTGTAACTTCCAAACCAGGTTACCTTACTGATTGGAAATTTGATGACATTACAAGCTTTATAGATAATCCATCAACTGAAGAACCTGATACTGGCCGTTATGCATCGACTAGTTCGAGTGTTGTTGGTGCAAAGCATACGCCAGCCAATGATTTTGAACCAATGCTCCATGAATTATTAGGGGAAGGTAGGTGAAGAAGCTTAGTTTTATATTTGCTCAACGTTCCCCCACCTCCGGCTTTGTACATTGTGATTTAATTTCATACAACATTTGTGTCGTTTGGAACCTCCCATTTGTGAATTATTTATGATCTCATTGATTTCTGTGTTGGAGTTTGTAAGTTAAATTGCTTATTACTCAAAAGTACCGTTCACAAAATAGACTGCCCATGGAGTTTGGATTCCATGATTGTATCTTTTGATTGTGGTTGTGGTCTAGCATACATATCTGTTTGAGTAATAATAACAAAAGAACCATTGTTGGAAAGAACTTTAAGTTGTCATCCATATGATACCACCAAAGCAACAAGATAGTGCAGAACAGAGTGTGATCTGCAGTGAAACAAACAAGATCCACCAAGATCGAAATCCATGGCATCATCAAAATCATCAATTTTGTAAAAGCCCCTCTACTAGTTACACAGAACAACCCTAATAATCCCAAGAAACATACAGGAAACAGAGAAGAAAAACAGAGTGATGAAATCCCTTGAAGACCATTTTCTGACAGCCTTAGCTTCAACCCTCAGGCTCTTCGCCCTCCTCAGCGCATCCACCTCCTTCAACAAATCAAACTCAACCCCTTTCCTCTTCAACTCATCTACACACTTCCCCAGCAAATTCCTGTCTTCTTTTTCCCTTTCCAGCAGTTTCTCCAAGTGGGCCTCAAGATCGGTCTTGTATCTCACGGCCCAAATGATACCCAGAGAGAACAACAGAGAACAAAGCGACGGAATCCAGGATCTGTTGCAGGCTACTCCATGGAAATCCTTGGTCGAGGCATTGAAGAGGAGGAGCACGGCGGTGGAGTGGAAGATGAAGAAGAAAATGTGAAGCATAGTGATTTCTTTCCTCACAGAGTCGATTTGGGTTTCTTTCAGAGAGATTCTTCCGAAGATTAGTTCCTCTTCCTTGAGCCACTGCTTGAGAAGAAGTTTGTGGGTTGGGGTTTCGGCAATTTGGTGAAGTGGGTGTGAAGGCTTCGGTTCCATGACTGATAAAGCTTTGTTGTTATCATCCATGGAAATTAAAAGTCACAAAACAGAGAGAAGTGCAAAATAGAAAGAAGAGAAGGATAGAAGAATGTAGTGAAGAGAGATCGGAGGCTTTTCAAAGGAGGCTCCCTTCTTTGATTTCTTTTTTTTCAAATAATTGTAACGGTCGGATCTGGAAAAGCGTTGCGTTGAAGTACGGTTTTGGTTTTGGTTTTGGTTAGAAGCCCCCCAATCCCCATGGCCCTTTCCATTCAACAATGGGCACGTGCTCCCCTACGCAGCCCTCACAACGGGTAATAGAATAAATTGAATATGGGTCCGTATGGGTCCATATGGGTCCATATGGGTCCCATCTCACTCTCACTAAACAACCCTCCTACAAACTAAAAAGGAATTAAAAAGCAAAGCTAAAGTAATGAAACAAATTCAAGGTATGCAATAAAGCCGTGGAAGTATGTTGAGAATGAGCCAATATGTCACAAGTCTGTAAGCATTTTGCGTCAAATGAAATCCATCCCAACTGATTCGCTCTCCAGGATTACCACAAACCGGCACTCCAGGAGCTCCACACATTTGCATCAGGTTGAACTCATAATCACCATCCATTCCACAACAAGGCTTATGCAGGGACGTTTCATCAAAGCCTGTTAATGTATATTCTATCAGATAAGTAAACGTTTTGAGAAGAGAACATCAGCAGCATATAGTGCAACAAAGGAGGCTTACCGAGAGAGGAAGCTTCTCGTAGAACCCACAAGAGTGCATTATAGTAATCACCATACACGATATTCACATTTGGGTTCTCTTTTCTAAAGGATTTGATAGCATCATTCAGATGGGTGTTGTGATAGATTGCTAAGTTGTTCAAATCCTTCAAACAGTGAAGCTCATCATAAGCAGTGGCATCGTCGGTTTGAAATCCAGCGAGAAAGATTGGTAGGCAGCCTATTGGAAAGTTTCCCGGCACAATAACTTGAAAAGCACCGTAATTTATGACTCTCTGCAGTTACAAACGAAAAGAAAAGGAGATATTGATAGAAAGTGTTTCAGAATGGTTAGGAGTGAGGAGAGGAGTCGATCATGGGTTTATAAGTAAGAAATATTATCTTTCATTAGTATGAGTCCTCTCTCAAAAACCAAAAGCAAAGTTATATTCAAGGTGGACAATATCATACAATTACAGAGATATGTGATTCCTAATATAGTATCAGAGTCATGTCTTTAACTTAATCATGTCAATAGAATCTTCAAGTGTCCAACAGAGAAGTTATGAGTCTCAAAGATGTAGTCAAAAGTGACTCAAGTGTCGAACAAAGGGTGTACTTCAAAGGTTCTAGAGAAGAAGTCGAGTCTCGATTAAGGGAGAGGTTGTTCAAAGGCTCCATAGGGCTCAGCGGAGGTTCTATGGTGTATTTTGTTCGAGGGGAGGTTTATTGAGGATTGTTGGGGAGAGTAGTCCCGCATTGGCTAATTGAGAGGAAAACCATGGATTTTTATAAGGAATACTATCTGTTGGCACGAGGACCTATCCAGGAAACTGAAACCAAAACCAAAATCAAAAGCAAAGTCACTAGAGTGTATGATCTAAGTTGGCAATACAATACCATTACATATAGAAAGGTTCAAAGAAATGAATCAAACCACATACCTCGACTGCCTCCTTTATAATTTGAACAACTTCAGGAACCATATTTCTAACTTCTTCTATAGTCTTGCCTTGGAACAGCGCATAGTTGTAATCATTCCCTCCAATCTCACCAACAAAGAACAAAGCATTCTTCAATTTCTTGGTACAATCTGTAAAACAGAGATCGCAATAAGTAAAGTAATTCAGAGAGTTTGTAAGTAATGAGAAAGAGGAAGTATATATAAATACCATTCTCTTTGAAGAGACAAGTAATGTTGAAATGAGTAGACATCCAATCAAGCTGTTTAGACAAAGACGAGTTGGTGACGCGAGAAGAGATTCTCTTTTGAGCAAGAACTTCCGAAGGCAAAGGCGTAGAGCCAGCCACTGCGAAATTCACCCCGTGAGTCATTGGTGCATCCTTGTCCAAATAAGGGTTTATCAAAGGAAGTCCAGCGGCAATAGCTGTAAGTAAATGAAATTAGCTTAAAACCCCATGTAAAGCAGAGAGGAAGGGTTTAAAGTTGGGTACCAAATTGATCGATGATTAGCAAGCCATTAGAACAGCGGCCAGTGGGGTTGTTGAAGAAGGATTCCCCGTAAGGGAAACGGGAAAAAGGGGTGGCGGGATTTTCTCGGATGAGGTTTCCGGTGTCTGAAATAGAGTCGCCCAGTTGGTAGATAGCGTCGAACATGCAGGTGGCCTTCGGCGGATGATCGGCAGCATTGGACGGTGAATGAAGAAGAAGAAGAAGAAGGAGAGGCAAATTAGGGAGAAGCTCCATTGTTAAGAAGAAGTATGATAGCAGAGCAGAGAAGCGCAATCGTTTTTGGAAGACCGATGATCATCGAGTATTTGATTTCATTAGATCATATTATGATTTTATATCTTTCGTCTTCTTTTCATTTAATTTATAAAAATCTCTTTGACTTGAAGATATTAAATCAAACCAAACTATCTAAGTTGGATTTAAGAAGATTTGTTTGGTTTAAATCCCAATTAAGATAGTAACTAAATTAATAAATCCTATCCATAAATGAGTTGTAAAGATTTTTTTTTAGCTAAAATTGAGATTTTTTTTTAGCATAAAATTTATGAGATTAGAACGAGTTAAATGAGTAAAAGTATTTGAGGGATGGCATTGCACCATAGTTGCTAAACTAAAAAATAATAGTAATAAGCCTTTATACTAATACGAAGAACACAAAGAGAAATATATGAGATCGTAAACTTTATATATTAATGACTTTTGGTATGATTGTGCAAAGTACAACTATCTACACTAACCATTTATTATCATTCACCCTATGTAGCCATGTGTATGAAACTTGCATGTTTCTTTAGTTATAAGCTATATCTTTTTATTCATTTTGATCTCGTAACTATCTAATGTAGAGAGATGTTACGATGGGTCATACTCAAGAAGCATCATCTACTCATCTGTTATATCGGATTCAACCTCACAGTTTTAAAACGCCTTTACTAGAAAAAGGTTTTCACACCCTTATAAGAAATGTTTCGTTACTCTCTCCTACCAATCCTACCAATGTGAGATTTCACCATCAATAATCAAGAACCATAAAAGATAAAAGAAACCTTGCTGTACTCATATTCATCTTAGGTAAACAGTAATATACACAATCCAAGCATGACACTCAAAAGGAGAAAATTCCAAAAAGAAAAGGAAACTAAAAGAAGTTTGGCCAAATTTATATGTATTTGCAAGAGAAGTTAACAAACAGAAGCATTGTAGTTGAGGCTGTAGTAGTGAAGAGATTGATCGTGAGAGGCTTCAAACCGGAAAAACACACAATTTTGAACCTCATCCTTGCAAATCAGAGCTCCAAGCGTCTCCAAATGTCGCATATTATCCGCGAGTATGATGAGATTAAAAGCTACAAGGAGCACCAAGAATACAAAATAAGCAACCTTCGAAGCATTGAAAAATATGTAATATGCAACTAATGACAACAACTGCATGGCCCTTAGCTGCCTTTTTCTTCTCTTGTTTCAAACTTTGTTAAATATGGAAAGCTTTAAAACTGCCACACAAACAATGTTCAACATATATATGCCAAAGCCAAAGCCAAAGCCAAAGCCAAGAGGGTTGATGCAATTATTGGTGGAGTTACTTCTGTTCAGAACTCAATATAGGCAGCAGGTAGCAGTTGGTGAAATTGGTCTTAAATGAGAAGTCGACTAGTACACACACGTTTCTCATATACACGTTCTTCGTGTATCATCTAACTGTTTGGAGAGCTGTCGTGTATATACTTCGGCCACCTGTCAAAACATCATTTTTCTTACAAATATTTATGAGTTCAGCCCTGATTCAATGATAATTAAGTACCTCAGGAAATAATCTTTGGGTTAATCATATATTCTATAATGTGATTGCAGGCTTAATGATAATCAACCCAACTTATGAGACTTTTAGGTTCAAGTAATAAACTATATGACATAACAGGCATGCTTTTTTCAAATGCGAGGGGGAAAGCATTAATACTAATCAATCAAAGAGTTGGCAGGAGAAAGCTCAATTCACCAACTTTGATGTGACAATTCAACCATTTAAAATGGTAGCAAGTTGGGTGAAATTAAAATATTTGAAAAGGTAGAATCTAGATTAGACAAGGACTTGAACTTATATACTGGATGTCTTCATCTCATTTATATGTTAAGTTCAGAAGTATTTTCAAATTTCTGGTATTTGGGTGTGGTAAATACTAGAAAAATAAACCATGGATAGAAATTACACATTTCATTTATGTATGGCAATGCTTCATGTTCTAGAAGACTCGACACATTTTACTTCACGGATGGTACAGTAAGAAGAATACAGAGGCGCGTACGTACCAAGGACAAGTCTTGCACTGCCTGCACTGTTTCCTCTCTAACATTGAGGCAAGCGTACCAGCTTTAAGGTCGAAAAAGCACATTCTGAAAACACCGATAAGGTCGGGTTCGCCACGATCTTTAGCATGCTAGTATCTTGCAAGCAAACATGACAAACTTTGGCTTCTTCTGCCAAAGATAATCAATTTAAGATGATGTTGAAGAAGTGTAAAGAAACACTTCCATTTACAGATGGCCTCCTGATTCGAACAATAGTGCTTCAATTGATGACCGGTAAGTAGTGATGAAGCTGAACATTCGACCAGCGAGTGGTGGAAACAAAACGAAATAAGATCAGTCTTACTTAATTACATGTATCATTCAAACGGGTGTGAAAGGTCTATATAACAACTCAAGCCTACCGCTAGCAGATATTGTCTTCTATGGGCTTTCCCTTCTAGACTTCCTCTCAAAGTTTTTAAAACGCATTTGTTAGAAAGAGGCTTCCACATCCTCATAAAGAATGCTTCGTTTCCCTCTCAAACCGATGTGGGATCCACAATCCACCCTCCTCCAAAGTCCAGCGTCCTCGCTGGCACTCATTCCTCTCTCCAATTGACGTGGATCTCAGAATTTAAAAAGAAAAATATAATACAAAGACACTAGAGCCATGACTAAACATTTGGAAACGGAATAGCAAATCAACAAACAGGCATTAGTTTTAAGCCTGGCTTTCGCCCATAAACACAGCACCATCTTTTTCCTACGACTAAATTGGAAATCTGATATGATGCTCTTTATAAACCCGTAAGAGAAAAGTTTCTTCTTCATTCATCATTTATATGAATCGGAATGCTGAACAACCTTCTTCAGATATTTAACAACTGTTTGAAATGGACCAATTGTAGATTCTAGCTCTAGCCCAAATGGCTGTATTTTTCTGATGACCCCTACAGTGGTGATGTTCGTAATTTTTGACTTTATGATTTGGAACTTCTAAAATTGATTACCTATTTATTTAGAGTGTTTTGTAGCTTCTCCCTGTACCACCACCAATGAAGGCAGCATTCCTATATGTAGCATTGTACCATAGAAGGCCACCATGAAGTGACTTCAGCCCATGTGACATTCCATCTACTGGAGTTAGTTTAACGGTCATCTACAACTCTTTCAATCTAAATAGCTCATCCCCTATCTTTCATCTCTGCTTTTTACCGTCCAAATTTCTTTGTCCATATCATCTCTACTCCTCCTTCTACCATTTACCTACCTTTTCGCTTCATGCCTATTATCATCAATCACAGCATTGTCCATCTTCCATAAACAAGAGAAGATTATAAGACATGTCTTTTTAACAATGGCAGTGGGGGAACGGGCCAACAACAGTTCATTTTTTTAACACACCTTAAAATATGCTTGTTCACATGCCTCTTTCGTCTCAAACATTGCACGACAAGATAAGATTGAATCAGCTGAAGTTTTTAGTTCAGATTGAAGAAATGAACACCGAACCATGCTGGAAATGAAGTTTTCACAGCCTACTCCGCATAATTACAATAAAATAAGTTAGATTTAAGAATTATGGAAATAAACTTGAACAAGAAAGACAAGTTGGGCACTTGATTGTCATTGGATGGAAAAGTCAGTGGGGTCACCAGTCTGAGCAGTTAAGTCCTTCTGTATAATGTGTTGTAGAATTTAATTCTGCATCAGCCAGGTGAAAAACGATATGGAATTAAAACTAGGACATGGAAACTATCAAGCTGAATTCTTCACATCAAGTAAACAAATTAGCCGCGAAAATGAACATTTCCGCCCGGTAAATAGAAAATTTCAGAGCCTGAATTACGAAAACTATTGCTGCTCGTGAATGAAAGCGGATTAAGGAAAGAGTTAGAAAAAAAGACGATACGCGTACTCTGAACCAAATTCAGGCAGCAAAACTAATAGTTAGAACAGAGAAAATGAAAGAACTGACTCACTACAGATCTTCAAGAAATTCTTGGAGGTCAAGGGGCACATGTCGGTGTGTAGGTCGATCACAATGTTTCCCAGACTGGTTACAATAAGTACGGACATTGCTTCCGCTCTCTGTCTTCTTTCTCCGCAAATTGGTGTGTGCTTTGTGGCAATTACATGCGGCTGTTCGTTGAGCTACTTGTTTGATGCTCTGAGTTCAAAGCTCAAACTCGAAGCCAACTGAACTCCCCTTGAAGTTGGAGCTGTCGGAAAAAGAAGAGATATCAAAGAGAGAAACGGTGAGAAAAGGCGGCGGTCTCGGGTGGCCGGCACGAGCAACTGAGATCGAAGTGTATCATCGCCATGGCCGTATTCTCAAGTATATTCTACGGGGGAAAATGTATCATAAGGATCGTATCTATAACCTCAAGCCACGTGTTTTGGCAAATCATTGTGGGGCTTGGCCCGTTTCAATGTCATGGGCCTAAGATTTTGGACTATTGGGCCGCTCAAATCTCCAGTCTCTAGGCCCTTCGTCTAGTTATGATCCGGGGCGGCCCTTGAATTTTGGTTTCTATGATTATTCCATTTTTAATATATATATATTTCACCCATATTGGTTGGAAACCTAACCCTTATGAGTTAAATTGGACTTAATAAATACATTGAAGTCAAAAAGAAAAGGCTGGAAGTGAAAGTCAACTCAAACTCAACTTCGGGTACTCGTTCCTCCCTTCGAGGCCCAACAACATCGCTGACACTGGTTTCTCTCTCTAATTGATGTGGGAACTCACAATTCACCCCACTTCAAGACTCAGCGTCTTCACTGGCACTTGTTCTTCTCTTCAACTGACGTGAGGTCTCACGATAACATAAACAACATTAAATTCTATATGAATAACACCACATCAGTGTGTAGTTTTCATTATTTTGCTACTCCCCTCGCCCTGTCTAAATTAATTATTAAAAACTTTAGTAAAAGTATAGACGCATTGTGAAAAGTAGATGAAAGGGAGGCATATATATGTGACAATAATGAGCCACCAAAGGTATGATTTCCATTATTTTGTAAAAATGGGAAAGAAGGTTGAAAATGAAAGGAAAAAGTGGAAAGAAGCATGTTTAGAGTATGAACTAGAGAGAGAGTAAAGTACCATTTAAAACCCAACTTAAAATGTCCTTCAAAAAAACAAACCCCGTCCCTACACATCCACACAAACCCAAGAGCATATTTCTAGTGCCAAACAACAACAAAAATGCTATCCTTTCATCTTATGCTCTAAAATATATGTATATTACATTCATTCCCACCCAATGTCCACCGTTAATCACTCCTCCATCTCACCCACATTCTGGCCTTGTCCCTGGTTTTTGGGTACAAAGCTTCCATTTTTCTCACTTGCATTATATTTATTGGTGATTTGAGTCTTGGATTCGTACCGATCTAGTTTTAAGGAGAGGCCGTGCAAGTGGGGAGCGTAGTAAGGCCCACATGCAGAGAGTTCTTGGGGTATTAAATCGATGATGGGTACCTGATGCCAACTTCAGCCCTACAAAATCTTCTGCTCGCTCTCCTATTTTTTCTTTTTTTCTTTTTTTCTTTTTTTGTCACAAAAGGCATCCCTCAAACTGTACTTTATAGGCAGCCGACAGGAAAAGAATTCAAAGCATGGGAATCACTTTATAAGATAACAAAACAGTTGCCCAGCATCTCAGATTTCTGAATAGTAGTTTTAAAAATCTCAGATTTCTTGTTCTTGAAATTTGGCTAATGATTCAAACGTTTCGTTAAAATAATATGAAAATCATCCTCGCGCAATTTAAGAGGTCACAAGCATAGATTTCAAAAATAAAAAAATGAAATCCTTATCAAACAATTTATGTACAGAACCCTAATTAGGAGTTTGAGAGGATATATGTTGTACTTCACATGTTGGATGCCAAATCTTTGAGGCCCATGTGACCATAGATTCCTCCATTCTTTCTCTCTCTCACACAAGCTTCCATTTTTCAACCTTTCTGGCCCTTTTGAATTTTTCTATGAGATCCCACAGTGGAATGGAAAGACGTTGGGCCCTAAAAAGAGGTGGATTTGAGACCCCACATCAATTGGAGAGGACAACATCGGCTAGTAGTGGACTTGGGTTGTGTACTTCAGTTCACCTTCTCACCCGTGCTCTCGAGATGGGTAAGAGAGTAATGTGAGTGGGCATAATCACCAAACCACACATGCTTGCGCGTTTACAGACCGTAAAAAAAGAACGAGAAAAACACAAAAGTAAAAGAACAAAACAGAGTGACAGTTTAGTTAGTTTTTTAGTGAGGTTTTGGAGGGTGTCCGGAAGCTAATTATGTCGGTATTGACCAACAACCCAGTAGTAGACCTCCGGCTAGCTGCCATCAACAACTTGCTTAAACCCGATTCCACTGCCCCACACACATATAATATATATACATATATCCACATATCCATATGTAAAAGCAAAAATCCAAGCCACAAAACCCCACTTTTCTTCCCCATTCGTTTCGACCAAATCAAAACCCATATGGCTTCCATTCCTCAATTCTACTCTGACTATACACCAACGGGCGCAGCAATGTTCGCTAATGATCTCTATGATCTGCCTCCTCCTACAACGCCGTCGACTGCGGCCACTCCTGGCGGCCCATTCTGGGGCGAAGAAACCTTAGTTCCTTTGTTCCACGAGTTTGGCCTTCTTCACCCTCCTTCTCTTTCCCCATCACCCCAATATTGTTGTGATGATAAACCACCGCCAACCCTGTCCTCCGCCATTGATCCCACCTCCTTTCCTCAACTCAATATCCCCTCCATTAATGGAGGATGTCAAAACTCTTGCCTTGATCATCATTTCCATGAATTTCAGGACGATTGCTTTGGATTGGTGCCTGAGATGAAGCCACTTCACCAACCACTCCCTCCCCATAATTGGGTATGTCCACCCATCTCTTTCTTTTGAAGGATACAGATTAAAGACAAAATTTTAAATTTTCATTTTATAATGTGATATTTATTTATATCCATGGATATGGATGAACTTAATGATATAGGAAATCCAAAGCAATGAAGTTCCTGTGGCTGAGGACTCAAACATGAAGGTTGCCCGCTACTCTGAAGAAGTAAGAAAACAAAGGATTCTGCGCTACTTGAAGAAAAGAAACCAAAGAAATTTCACCAAAACCATAAAGGTATCCACGTTAAAATGA